GTTTTTAGTTTTTGAGTTATAAATGACTTTGATGTATTGAAAAGTCAAATTTGGGATTAAGACATTTCTCGGTTTGTACCTAAAAATTTATACTTATAGGATTGAAATGGTTTATGGATTATATTTTTTGGGTTTATTATGAATGATTTTTCTTAATAACACTTCCCCCTATCGTTTTTAGTTTTTGAGTTATAAGTAACATTAATGTCTTGATACGTCAAACTTGAGATTAAGACATTTTTCGGTTTGTAGCTAAAAATGTATACTAATTGGATTCAAATTATTTATCGATTATGTTTCTTGGGTTTATTATGATTGTTTTTTCTTAATAACACTTCCCCCCATCGTTTTCAGTTTTTGAGTTATAAATGACTTTGATGTCTTGAAAAGTCAAATTTGGGATCAAAACATTTTTCGGTTTATAGATAAAAATGTATACTAATTGGATTGAAATTGTTTATGAATTATGTTTTTTGAGTTTATTATGAATGATTTTTCTTAATAACACTTCCCCCCATCGTTTTTAGTTTTTGAGTTATAAGTAACATTAATGTCTTGAAACGTCAAATTTGAGATTAAGACATTTCGGTTTGTAGCTAAAAATTTATACCAATTGGATGCAAATTGTTTATGGATTATGTTTTTTGGATTTATTTTGAATGTTTTTTCTTAATAACACTTCCCCCCCAGCGTTTTTAGTTTTTGAGTTATAAGTAACATTAATGTCTTGAAACGTCAAATTTGAGATTAAAACATTTCTCGGTTTGTAGCTAAAAATGTATACTAATTGGATTGAATTTGTTTATGGATTATATTTTCTGGGTTTGTTACGAATGATTTTTCTTAATAACACTTCCCCCCATCGTTTTTAGTTTTTGAGTTATAAGTTATAAGTAACATTAATGTCTTGAAACATCAAATTTGAGATTAAGACATTTCTCGGTTTGTAGCTAAAAATTTATACCAATTGGATTGAAATTGTTTATGGATTATATCTTTTGGGTTTATTACGAATAATTTGTCTTAATTACATTTCCCCCCATCGTTTTTAGTTTTTGAGTTATAAATGACTTTGATGTCTTGAAACGTCAAATTTGAGATTAAGACATTTCTCGGTTCGTACCTAAAAATGTGTACTTATAGGATTGAAATTGTTTATGGATTATGTTTCTTGGGTTTATTATGATTGTTTTTTCTTAATAACACTTCCCCCCATCGTTTTTAGTTTTTGAGTTATAAATGACTTTGATGTCTTGAAACGTGAAATTTGAGATTAAGACATTTCTCGGTTTGTAGCTAAAAATTTGTACCAATTGAATTCAAATTGTTTATGGATTATGTTTTTTGGATTTATTATGAATGTTTTTTCTTAATAACACTTCCTCCCATCGTTTTTAGTTTTTGAGTTATAAGTAACATTAATATCTTGAAACGTCAAACTTGAGGTTAAGACATATCTCGGTTTGTAGCTAAAAATTTATATCAATTGGATTCAAATTGTTTATGGATTATATCTTTTGGGTTTATTACGAATAATTTGTCTTAATTACATTTCCCCCCATCGTTTTTAGTTTTTGAGTTATAAATGACATTGATGTCCTTAACCGTCAAATTTGGGATCAAGACATTTCTCGGTTTATAGGTAAAAATGTATACTAATTGGATTGAAGTTGTTTATGAATTACGTTTTTTGTGTTTATTATGAATGATTTTTCTTAATAACACTTCCCCCCATCGTTTTTAGTTTTTGAGTTATAAGTAACATTAATGTCTTGAAACGTCAAACTTGAGATTAAGACATTTCTCGGTTTGTAGCAAAAAATTTATACCAATTGGATTCAAATTGTTTATGGATTATATCTTTTGGGTTTATTACGAATAATTTGTCTTAATTACATTTCCCCCCATCGTTTTTAGTTTTTGAGTTATAAATGACATTGATGTCCTTAACCGTCAAATTTGGGATCACGACATTTCTCGGTTTATAAGGTAAAAATGTATACTAATTGGATTGAAATTGTTTATGAATGATGTTTTTTGGGTTTATTATGAATAATTTTTCTTAATAACACTTCCCCCCATTGTTTTTAGTTTTTGAGTTATAAGTAACATTAATGTCTTGAAACGTCAAATTTGGGATCAAGACATTTCTCGGTTTATAGCTAAAAATGTATACTAATTGGATTGAAATTGTTTATGAAGTTTTCTTAATCACACTTCCCCCCATCGTATCTAGTTTTTGAGTTATAAATGACATTGGGCACGTTCAGCCGGTGTCAACTGTTGAGTTACTATACGCTAAGTAAGCGTTGTTACGCAGCAGTTTAGTAAATATCTCAGCGTAAGTAATCTGCGCTTAGTTTGTCAGCGGTTGTGAAATTCTAGGTTAAGATTAACATTTTTTGTTTCTCCCCTTTAATTTTAAAAACTGACAACTGTATATAATGAAATCAGCCTTAAAATCAAGATCATCATTCATCATCCTCTATCTCTTGTAATAACACAACATTTTCAAAAATATTATTGTTGGCCATAGTTTTAGGTTATGCAGAACCGCTAATTCTCAATTGCTTGTTTAGCCGATTTCGTTCCGATTTCGTTGTATTAAAGCTCATACAACTAGCTGACTGATTGAATTCAACTGTTGACACCTGCTGAACGTACCCATTGGTGTCTTAAACGTCAAATTTGAGAGTAAGACATTTCTCAATTTGTAGTTAAAAATTTAAACTAATTGGTTTGAAACTGTTTATGGATTTTTTTGAATTTATTATGAATGATTTTTCTTTATCACACTTCCCCCATCGTTTTTAGTTTTTGAGTTATAAATGACATTGATGTCTTGAAACGTCAAATTTAAGATTAAGACATTTCTCGGTGTGTAGCAAAAAATGTATATTTATAGGATTGAAATTGTTTATGGATTATGTTTCTTGGGTTTATTATGATTGTTTTTCTTAATAACACTTCCCCCCATCGTTTTTAGTTTTTGAGTTATAAGTAACATTAATGTCTTGAAACGTCAAACTTGAGATTAAGACATTTCTCGGTTTGTAGCTAAAAATTTATACTAATTGGATTGAAATTGTTTATGGATTATGTTTTCTGGGTTTGTTACGAATGATTTTTCTTAATAACACTTCTCCCCATCGTTTTTAGTTTTTGAGTTACAAGTAGCACTAATATCTTGAAAAGTCAAATTTAAGATTAAGACATATCTCGGCTTGTAGCTAAAAATGTATACTTATAGGATTGAAATGGTTTATGGATTATATTTTTTGGGTTTATTATGAATGATTTTTCTTAATAACACTTCCCCCCATCGTTTTTAGTTTTTAAGTTATAAGTAACATTAATGTCTTGATACGTCAAATTTGAGATTAAGACATTTCCCAGTTTGTAGCTAAGAACTTATATTCATTGGATTAAAGTTGTTTATGGATTATGTTTTTTGGGTTTATTATGAATGTTTTTTCTTAATAACACTTCCCCCCATCGTTTTTAGTTTTTGAGTTATAAATGACATTGATGTCTTGAAACGTCAAATTTGAGATTAAGACATTTCTCGGTGTGTAGCAAAAAATATATATTTATAGGATTGAAATTGTTTATGGATTATGTTTCTTGCGTTTATTATGATTGTTTTTCTTAATGACACTTCTCCCCAGCGTTTCTAGTTTTTGAGTTGTAAATGACATTGATGTCTTGAAATGTCAAACTTGAGATTAAGACATTTCTCGGTTTGTAGCTAAAAATGTTTACCAATTGGATTCAAATTGTTTATCGATTATGTTTCTTGGGTTTATTATGATTGTTTTTTCTTAATAACACTTCCTCCCATCGTTTTTAGTTTTTGAGTTATAAGTAACATTAATGTCTTGAAACGTCAAATTTGAGATTAAGACATTTCTCGGTTTGTAGCTAAAAATTTGTACTAATTGGGTTGAAATTGTTTATGAATTATGTTTTTTGGTTTTATTATGTTTGATTTTTCTTAATAACACTTCCCCCCATCGTTTCTAGTTTTTGAGTTATAAATGACATTGATGTCTTGAAACGTCAAATTTGAGATTAAGAAATTTCTTGGTTTGTACCTAAGAATGTATACTTATAGGATTGAAATTGTTTATGGATTATGTTTTTTGGATTTATTATGAATGTTTTTTCTTAATAACACTTCCCCCCGTCCTTTTTAGTTTTTGAGTTATAAATGTCATTGATGTCTTGAAACGTCAAACTTGAGGTTAAGACATATCTCGGTTAGTAGCTAAAAATGTATACCAATTGGATTCAAATTGTTTATGGATTATATCTTTTGGGTTTATTACGAATAATTTTTCTTAATTACGTTTCCCCGCATCGTTTTTAGTTTTTGAGTTATAAATGACATTGATGTCTTGAAACGTCAAATTTGAGATTAAGACATTTCTCGGTTTGTAGCTAAAAATTTATACCAATTAGATTCAAATTGTTTATGGATTATGTTTTTTGGGTTTATTATGAATGTTTTTTCTTAATAACACTTCTTCCCATCGTTTTTAGTTTTTGAGTTATAAGTAACATTAATGTCTTGAAACGTCAAACTTTTGATTAAGACATTTCTCGGCTTGTAGCTAAAAATGTATACCAATTGGATTCAAATTATTTATGGATTATATCTTTTGAGTTTATTACGAATAATTTTTCTTAATAACACTTCCCCCCATCGTTTTTAGTTTTTGAGTTATAAGTAACATTAATGTCTTGAAACGTCAAATTTGAAATTAAGACATTTCTCGGTTTGTAGCTAAAAAAGTATGCTAATTGGATTAAAATTGTTTATGAATAACATTATTTAGGTGTGTTAAGAATATTTTTTCTTAATCACGGATCTTTCCATTGTTATTAATTTTGAAGTTATAACGGATGTTGGTGTCCGAAAACGACTAATATACATTAGTTCATCTGGTCCCATCTTAAGTCTAAAATAATTAATTTCTTTTTATTAATTTTCATTACAGCTCTTCCGATGAAAACGACAATGACACCTCAACTAATTTAGTCGTTAATAGAAATTTGGAGTTACCCGAAGGGGCTACTCTCTCGGATTCAGATAGTAGCCACAATAATCTCGATGATCCTCACCGAGCGCTCGACATAGACCTAGAATTGTACGTATTTTAAGTTAATTACTTCAAAACAATTTTAGAGGGGGATCTATATTAATAACATAAATTTAAGTGTTATATTAGATTAAATTAACTTACCTGGGATTATTTTTTTTGTTATTAACAAATTTTTTTTAGGATAAAAATTTTTTTTTGGGGTTTTTCTGTTGTGTTTTTTAAAAAATTAATTTCAGGCCTTCTTACGACGAATTGGAACGCAAAAAAGAACAGGAAATTAAAGAATACATGGATAAGAAGCATAATGAAAAGAGATTAAAAAAACATAAAAAGAAGGTGAGATTTTAGATTAATTAAAATTGATTAAAATTAATTAATTAAATTTAGGGTGAAAGAGAGAAGGAAAAAGATTCGATTCTTAGCGAAAATGAAAAGAAATTTGAGGTGGAGGAAAGCAAGAAAAACAAAGAAAAGAAAGAGAAGAGGGATAAGAAGGAAAAGAAAGAGAAAAAATCAAAAAAGGAAAAAGACGGTGAATTGAATTAATAAATAAGTTAATTAAGATAATGTTTTGTTGGTTATTTTAGGTAAAAAGAAGACCAAAAAATTGGGGAGCGAAGGCTACGAAGAAGCTGTTGGAATCTCAACCCCGAGCAAAGAGTTTCAAAGCGAAATTAAATCTACTTAAAATTAAGAAAAGTATCAAAATAACTTTAACTTTGTAATAAGAAGATTTATTGCGGAAAAAGACGCATTATTAATAATTATCTTATTAAAATATATTATCTAATTAAAATATATTTAATAAATTAAAATACTAATTTAATTTTTGGATCGGTTGAGTATCAATATATATTATTATTTTTGTTTGCATGATTAATAATTGGATGTTTATACAAAATTTGTGCGTATGTAGTGTTTATTTTTGTGTAGGTATTATTTTGTGAGCATGGGCATGAATTGATTTAATTTGACTCCAAATTTATGAAGTTTTATTTCAAAATGAAACGATTAATAATCTCTAAATTTAAAATCAATTCGATCATTAATTTTTATTTCCAGGATTAGGCTCCAAATGCATTGCGGAATGCCGTTTTTAACCTTTTAAAGAAATCCCGCCGATTATCAGCGCCATCTATGAATTAACCCGATATATATTTCAACACTAATTTTTAATTCTATTATAAATCTTTTTAATAAAACACAGCTTATTTTTTCTTAATAAATATTAATAATAAAAAGAATTGTTTCAATTAATTTGTAATTATTAAAATTAATTTTAATTAATCGAAAAAACAAAGTTTTTGTATTTAGGTTGGCATTGAATCAATCACAAATATTTGACAGATTTGAGTTTCAATTAATTTGAAAGAGATTTTTTAAGTTTTTGAAACGATTTTAACGATATTTTAAACATAGATGATTTATTGATATCGGTAAAAAGTGAAAAACCGTTTTTAAAATTAATTCAACCGATAATCAGCGCCATCTATGAATTAACGAGATAAATATTTCAATACTAATGTTAATTTTTAAATAAATTTTTTAAAACACCTCATTTTTTTAATAAATATTATTGAATCAGAAAAAGAAATTGTTTAAATTAATTTGCAATTATTTTTGTTATTAATTTTAATTGATTAAAAAAAATCAATTTTTTACTTTTAGGTTGGTATTAAATTAATCAACAAATAAAAATTTGACAGATTTGAGTTTCAATAAGATTCAAGATTTTTTTAAGTTCTTAAAGTGATTTTAAACGATTTCAAAGATATTTTAGGCACAAATTCTTCAAATGCGGTAAGTTTTCACAATTTTTAAAACAAATTTCTTTTAAAATCAATTTTATTTTGTAAAACTCTTCATAACGCGACAAACATAACCTAAAAAAATTATTTTAAATAATTTCAATAATAGTTTTTTGGCGCGATAATAAATATCGATAAAATAGATTTCGATATTGAGAATTTTATTTTTCTTCGAACGCGCTTAACACTTCGCGCTAACTAACTCTCTTCTGGTTCTTCGAGTTCAGTCGGCGTTCGCGAGCGACGCGAGCCGGATGTGCTTTGATTAACCATTAACCCGTTTTCGAAAAAAGAGAGCAAAAGCACTTCATCGGGTTTCGGCAGTCGACGACCTTTTTTTTCGTTCGTTTCCGATAACCGCGCGGAGTTCTCATTTTTTCGAAAGAAGGTGCAAAATATATCCGAAAAAAAGAAATAAATTTGTGAAAAATAAGTAAAATAAAAAGAAATAATAAGTTCGCGTCGCTTGGATATGTTTCAAGTATTTTCTATAATTTTCGTTTTAAATAACCAAAAGATTCATCAAGAGCGAGAAGATTCATTTTTGAGTTTGTTTAATAATAAGGTAAGCACAAATTAATTTTATTTAATTAATTATTTATTAATAAGTTTAAAAAAAATTTTTTCTGGTTGATTTTAAAATAATTTATTATTAATTTATAACCGAGGCTGGTGCTCTTCTCTCGCATTGACCTTTAAGATATAAATAACCGGACTCGGAACGTATGACCGCCAAAAAGTAAAAAATTAAAATAACAATAAAAAATATAAATTTTAAAAAATGCTAAATCAATTAATACGACAAATTAATATTTAAATCTCATACTAAACTTGATTTATACGACTTATTTATTCATTTAGACCGATTTCGGTGTTTGTATCATCATCAGGACTACAAATAATTTAGGTTTTGTATGCAATTTTTATTTTAGTAACACTTTCGCAAGTATTCCGGTTTATTTACTGGTTATTTAAGGCTGTGATGACCTTAAATGACTATTCAAGTAAGTATAATATTAATAATTGATAAAGATTTTTGTCATCATGCCTACTCTTCCAACTTTATCAATAAATGGTATAGACAATAAAGAGAAAGAATGATCACCTCAGTATTAATTATTTATAACTTATTTTTCTTAAACTCTCTGGTGAATATGGATATAAACGATATCAATAATTATATGGCAAATACGGCTACTAATATCCTTACCTACAAACGTACAACATATAAGATCGACTTACAACTACAACACATTAGATTTCTAAGAATTTGTCTCGCAGAGGAAATCTTTCCTAACTTTATTGATAAAATAAAAACCCAATACATTCGCACAATTCTAAACAACCATTACAAAAAACTTAATTTGCTTAACCTTAAGCTTTACAATTGTTACCAACTACTTAATCTTCACCTCCATTACATAGAAGTCGAAGAAATAATTAGAGAAGCTAAATTGCATGATAGGATAATTTTAAATGAAGTACGAAAGAGAAAACAGAAAAAGCTGCAAAAATTGAGAAACGAGAAAAAGATCAAGGGGAACCAAATGCAGAGACAAGAAACAATTCATAAATTTTACCCAAAGGTAACGAACACCACTTCCATAATCTTTACATAGAAAGAAGAAGACATACTAAAGAAAGGACTGAAATATGAAACACAGAAGAACTTAGAGTGATAAAAAGTATAAAGCGAAAAATTAAAGAAAATAACCTAATTATGACCCCGGCAGATAAGAATGCAGGAACAATTATCTTGAGTAAAGAACAGTATATTAAAAAAACCGAAGATTTCCTGAATGACAACGACTTCAAAACCATAAATAAAAACCCAACAAATAATTTCCACAAAAAGACCAAACAAATTATCAAAGAAAATAACATGATTTTAGAAGAGATCCTGGACAATGTTAGAAATTTATTACCCATGAATCCACAAATTCCAAAACTCTATGCCCTCCCAAAGATTCATAAAAATAACATGCCTATTCGACCCATTATAAGTTCCATTCAATCCAGCACATACAGACTTTCCAAATTACTACAAGGATTTGTTAGAAATACTATTAATTTTAAACCAAAACATACGATCACAAACCGTAATCAAATACCAACTTTGATTAACAAAATAAAACTACCTGATAAGTTCAAAATGATTTCATTTGATGTCAGTAACTTGTACACCAATATACCCATAGCCGAAACTCTGAAAATTTTGAAAGAGAATATTATGACCGAACTTAGAGACGAAAACAAGACTAATTCCATTTGTAACTTCTGTACATTCAACAATAAATTCTACCAATATGCGGATGGTTTGCCAATGGGTTCCCCACTCAGTGAGATAATGGCCGACTTATTTATGGACAACTTAGAAAATAAACTTATTATGAATGACATTAACCCATACAAGAATGAAATCATTACCTGGATCAGATATGTGGATGACATATTGGTTTTCGTCAAAGATGAACAAATACACTGTTGGAAATAATTCACGAGCACACCCTGTATAATCTGAACGCGTGTGTCTAGCGCAATAAAATTTGGTATGGAAGTAGTACTAAAGTAGTGTAACTTACTCTCACATGGAGAGCGGCACAACTCTGCTGGGAGGAGAAACATCAATAGCGAGAGTATCCCCCGTGAGCTTCGCGTACCATCGCTACACGACGTGGCATGGAGTCTATAAGTCGCTGTATTGTAGCGAGAGGGATGGCCAACCATGCCACCTCAACTCGCCTCCATAGCTCCTCAACGTTAGCCGAGGAAGCCGGATAACGTAGAAGTCTCCGACCAGTCATGTCCCAAACATGTTCGATCGGATTCAGATGCGGAAACCGAGCTAGCCATGGAAGCATTCGTATACGGTGCTCTTCCACAAAGGTCTGTACAACACGCCCGATGTGCTGTCGTACGTTGTCGTGCATGTATAGCAGACCTGGGAGCCGCCGAACGTAGGGAAGCACAACGGACCGTAGCACCTCATCTACGTATCGTTGACCCGTCATGGTCTGCTATACACGCAGCAGACGTGTACGTCCACCATGTGTAATAGCACCCCATACCATAATGCTCGGTTGTCGGTGGATAGGGCATTCTTGCACACACTGCTCGAGTAGACGATCACCACGGCTCCGACGAACTAAAATTCGCGCATCACCGGTGCTCAATTCGAATCTTGATTCGTCGGAAAACAAAATGTCCCTCTACTCGGCAACCTACTAATGCCTAGCGTCGACCCACTCGTGACGTATGCTGCGGTGCTCGGGTGTTACTGGAATCCGCTGTATCGCACGACGCGCGCGCAGTCCACTATCTACCAAACGCCGCCGTACAGTTCGCGTAGTGAGTGCGCCTTCCCCTGCCAGTGGCCAAACAGCTCCAAGTTGCCTTGAGGAGGACGCACACGACGCTAAAGCGCTGAGCACAAGAGTGCGATCCTCGTGTGTTGTGTCGCGCAGGGCCGTCCCGGCCGCAGCTGTAGGTACCTATGTCCTACCTCAGACCATTCTCGCTATGCCCGTTGCACTGACGATAACGACCGCTCGAGACGACGCGCAATTTCACGGAACGATACACCCTCAATGTGCATACCCACAAACATTCCTCGCTCAAACTCGCTTAAATAACGCGATCATCCATTGCGCACAGAGTACGATAATAATGTGGTCCCTCACACCACAATAAAAACGACCGGTATTTTTCATCCACTTCGGTCTCCATAGCGACGGAATGTTCCACTTGGAAGGGCGGCTCAGTCAAAAATGCCGCGACGGAACAACTCGAAACTCCCTGAATAAACTCGTCTACAGTAAACCTTTGTGCTCCGCAAATATTATGGATTTATCTTCACGCGTTCAGATTATATAGGGTGTGCTCGTGAATTATTTCCAACAGTGTAATTGATAATCTCCATGAATACATAAACAAATTACATCCAAAGATACATTTCACTCTAGAAACGGAAATAGAAAATAGAATAAACTTTCTTGACTTCACAATTCAACGTTTGGGC